AATAATAAAGAGCATATATGGTGGTTCTTACTAGTTTTAACTGTTATAAAAATATATTTCTATTAAAATAAATTATACTTTAGACATATAGTTTAAACAATACAATATTTTTGAGAGTAATAAATTTGAATTGTTAAACATAAATAATAATATAAGTAAAAAAAATGTAATTAATGTTTAATTAATTTCCTATTCATTACTTTGCTAGAGTGTTGAAAAAAAGGATTACCAACGAGCATATAGAGTTTCTTTTACCATTTAAATGAATTTAAATATGTTTTTAATACTATAAACCATTGAAATGTATATGGTCTCCTTCATTGAGTATTTATTGTTTTTAAGAGGTATTTAATTATTTTAATAAAAATCCCTATTTTTATTAAAAATTAAAATCCTTATTAATTATAGTTTCGAATCACATATATTTTACTTATAATGTTATGATTAATATTTAACAATTCAAATTCACTTCTCGCGAATTAACAAATATAAATAACAAAATACAAAATAAGTTATACAATACTACAAACACTAAAATATTATTATTGTCAATATGAAATTTTCTCTTTAAAATTCAAAGATAAAAATTTTCCACGAAAAAACTTCTTATCAAGTTTTCTTCTATTTTTTTATAACTTGAATATTTTTTTTACACTATTCAATTCTTTTTTTCTTCATTTAACTAGTACTTTTATATCTGTTTATTTTCCATACAGCTATTAATTTTTTTTATCAAAAACGCTAATAATTCCTTTTATTAACAAATCATTAACTCTAATAATTCTCAATAAAGACTTTTTTTTTTTTTTTTTTTTGCGTTCTTTTTTTGTCACCTAGGTAAGCTGGTAATAATTCTGCATCCAACGTTTTTTCTTCTATTTTATCCTCTACATTTACTACTTGATTTATTTACTTTCCATAAATTACATTTTTAATTTATTAAATTATTATTCAATGAATTTGCTAGAGTAATGAAAAACAAATTATTAAAGAGAATATGAAGTTTTCTCTAGTAATTAAATGGATTTAAAATATAATATTAATAATATAAACAAATAAACCGCAATAATGCGGTTAATTGTGGATTTACTTTGATAAAAATTATGTATTCTTATTAAAAACATATATTTTCATTAATTATTAATTTTTAAGTACAAAATAATTATTGCTTTTTATAAGTAATTTTCAGTAATTTAAGTTCAATGCTTTTAAAAATAATAAAAATACATAAATAATAAAAAAATATTTTAATTATATTAATATCATTTAACGAAAATTTTGTTTTTAAAAATTGAAAAATATTCTTATGTAATTTTTCTTTCTAAAAAATTTTTCTCTTTTAATTTTTTTTTTTTTAAAAAAATAAAATATATTTCTATAAAAAAAATTTAGACAAAATATTAATTTTTCTTTTTTTTAACTAGATCTTGTGCATAACAAATCTTATATTCTCTGTTAAATCATTAATTTTTATTCTCGTAAAGGTTATCTAACCTTTTAGTAAAGAATTTGCAAATATTTAATTTATAACTTTTTATTTTATTTATTCCCACCTCTATCATAGATTCTGATTCTGTTTTATTGTCTGTAATCTCTTTATTAGATTCTGATTCTGTTTTATTGTCTGTAATCTCTTTTTTAGATTCGGATTCTGTTTTATTTTCTATCATCTCATTCATAGATTCGGTTTCTGTTTTATTGTCTGTCACCTCGTTCTTAGATGCGGATTCTGTTTTATTGTCTATCATCTCTTTCACAGATTCGGATTCTGTTTTATTGTCTGTCATATCTTTCTTAGATTCGGATTCCGTTTTATCGCCTGTCATCTCTTTCTTACATTCGAATAAAAATTTCTCAAATTCTGAGTTAAGTTCTCTCATAATACTATCAATTTTTTTGATTTTTTCTTCATTTGGAATATTACGTCGACGAGATATTGAATATAGATCATTAACTTTCGTATTTGAAATATTATTAAATTCATCATTCCATTTTCTTAATTTCGATTTAGAGTCCATTTCCCTTGTTTCTTTAATAAATCGATCCCAAAATTGTGGAATCATGACCTTACGCCAATAATTGTACGGATCCTTGTATAGATCCGGATCCTTACATATGTTTTTTTTATTATCTAATGGACGTTCTTCTAGACATCCTTCAGCGTTAGTTTGCTTTTTTCCTGCTATGTGACCCTCCGCTAATACTCTTCCATATTTCAACTCATTTTTTGTTTGCAATATATTTTTATAAATAAAAGTTTTATAGGAATCACACTATGGGTTAAATAAAAATTTTTTAAAAGAATATTTCTTTTGATAGAATAGAAAATCAAATGAAATGTTAAAAATAATTAGAAATAAAATATATCTATATGTATATTTTTTGTAAAAATTTTAACTTACGTTGTAAAAACATTGATACATCCAAATTAAAAGAAGGAATGTAGTAATTTTTAAACATAAAGTTAATGTTTTCATAATAATATATTTATAGAATTATATTGAAGTGGACGTTGTTAATTCAGGTGTGAAATCATTTCAATTTTCAATAATACTAAATTATGGATTTGTAATATAAATTTAGATATTATTATAACTTATATTAATTTCTCAAATTTTTAAAATAAAAAATTATTTTCATATATGAAATGTAATTTCTAATTTTTTATTATTATATATGATATTATGGTTAGTTTAGATACGAATAATATTCTTAATTCTTTAAAAAATAATATAAGAATGTTAATTAACAAATAAATAAAAAATATAATAAATAGGATAATGTTATTTTAAAAATATTTTATTAAAATTTTATTTATCTTTAAATTATGTAAAAAAATAAAATATTTTTAATTTAATGCACATAAAAATTATAAATGATATACATTTAATGTTAAAGGAATTTTTTTAATTTTTTTTTTCTAAACTACCAATCTCTGTGAATTATGTCGAACTTTAAATTATTTAATATACAGTATATTATGATTTATAAATATAAATCTTCATATATTATAGAGATATATCTCCATCAAAAAAAGAAAAAAAACTCTATAAATTAAAAATATTTATACGCATGTATCTTTAATACAGTATACTACATTTGTGATAATTTTTCACTTAATATAAAACTAATTTTTGTTTGTGTATATTTTTCTTTTAAATATAACTTTTTTGATTTTTCTTATATACTTTTTTTTATCTTAATTTTTTTTTTTTTTTTAATATTATTATTGATAAATGTTTATATAATATATGTATATATTTATTTTTTGTTATAACTATTTTTTAAAAAAAATTACTTTTCAACCATTTAAAAAAAAATAAAAAAAATTTAGTAAGTACTTAATTTAAAAGGAAAAACTGAAAATAGGTATTTACTTTAAAGAAATTATAATAAAAAATCTTATAAAAAGCACCTTTACAAATCAAATTAATTAATTATAATTTAAAAAAAAAAAAAAGAAAATACTATTTTTTTAATCATATATTTACCGTAAAAGATATTTTTTAAAAAAAGTTTTATTTTTTGATAAATTTACTTTATTCTAAAAATATATTTTTGTAAATTTACTTTTTTACTAATAATACTTATTAGTTTAAATTTTTATATAAATATTATTTACTGAATATAAAAATATATCTTTTGTTAAATATAATAGATTTTTTCTTATAAAATTCAAAAGAATGGATTTTTATTGCCATATAAAATATATGAATAAATAAAGATAAAATTAAATTATAAAATAACTTTTTGCATATATATAATCATAATCTTCTAATTGAATATAAAAAAAAATTATTTTATTTTCTTTTTTTTTTCCTTTATATATTTATTTGATAAGTTTTGATTATTATTAGGATGTGTTTATTTTCTTTTTTATTTTTAGTTTTATATATTTATAGCACAATTTTTTATTTTTCATTTTACTTACCAAATAATTTAGTTAACTCATTTATATGGTATAAATGAATTCAACAATTGTTCCTTCCTAATATAACTTTTTTCTTAATAGGTTAAATTTTATAAGACATCTTTGTAAATATTAATGAAGAATTTTAATAAGAATTTTTGTTTTTTATATTTAATTTGTTAGAAACGTTGATGTATTATTATAAAAAAGTGGTGTGTATATATACTATCATTTTTAATATTTCAACACTAATTTTTCTCTAAAAGATAATCATAAATTTAATAAAAGTGCATTTTTTATGATTTGTATTTTTTTAATATTATATGTCGAGATTGTTCTTACAAGTAAAAATATGTAAAATATTAATGTGTCTTACATTTAACATATGTATTACATGATATTAAAATAATTTGAATAGTGTATGTATTGGAGATATAGAAACTTAAATTATCCAAATAACAGTTCATGAAGTGTTAAAATTATTATGAATATTATAAATATGATAATATTCCTAAGGAAAAGAAATAATTTATAGCTCTGATTTATTAATGGCTGTTAAATTACTTTTCTCGTGCGAAACAAATAAATTAATAAGGAAAATGTAGTGTAATCTCTACTTAATTTTAATATAAAATTTTTATATTTATTTTTATTAATAAACATTAAATGTGACTTATCAGTTAATTATTTTTTTTTTTGATATAAGCAACACTCTAAAATGTAATTTCCTTATTATTACATTTTTGCTTAAAATATACATAAGTATAAGAAAATCGTAGAGTCATCTCTACATGCTCTTTATTAATTGTTTTGTTCAGTACTCTAACAAAGTCTCCGAACACCCAGTTAATAAATCAAGAGGTAAAGAAGTACAAATTCCAATATCAAAAATAAAATTGTTGAGTAACAAAACAAGGGAGATTAATAAATAGCAATTACAGAATTTGATACAAGTTACGAATAAAAATAAACGGAAATTAAATCTGACGCATGATTTAAAGTCTCAGGGTTATCTAGATATTCATAAACGGAATAGTATCACAGGGACGATATCAACGATAATCAGGACAAACGAATTGTAAAAGGAATATAAAAGGGACTTGATGTAATAAAACAATACAAAAATAACAAACTTAAGTAATAACCACTACTTTCCTTTGGTGGTGGAGTATTGTTAATAAAAGGCTTTATTAACCTTTTTGGAAAATAAAAGGACTAGTTAAATGAAGAATACGAAGTTGGTTATGCACACACAAAAAAAAATGATGATGAATTTTTTTTTTGTTTGCACTTTTTTTTTAAAAAAAGTACAAAGACCATCAGGAAAAAAAATTGTTAAAAAAAAAAAAAAATGCAAAGACCGTCAGGAAAAAAATTAATAAAAAAAAAAAAAAAAGGGAATTTTTTTTTTTGGGAAATGAAATATGATTTTGATGAATTTTGTAAAAGAAAATTTTATATATATAACAATAAAATTCTCATGTAATTAATATTTATATAATTTTTTTTGTATTGTCAATAATTGTTTATGTTTGTTAATTCAACAGCAATACATGTTATTGCTGAATGTAACTCATAACATATAAACAAGTAATTTACAATTAATTAATAATCACTGTTCAACAAGGATTTAAATAATTAATAAAAAGAAGGATTTTTATTAAAGTAAATAAATGCCTATTGAAATTAAAGAATGATGAATGAACTAGATAACATAATTAAGGATCATTCGTTCAAATCATTAAAAAATATATATAAATATATCAAAACCGTAGAGGCAACTCTACATGCTCTTTATTAATTTGTTTGTTCAGTACTCTAGTAAAGTCACCGTACACCCAGTTAATAAAGCATTATTATAGAAAGTTAATAAAAGGTATTATTAATTATTATGAGAATAAAAAGTAGCAGTTATATGGAAAATAAATAGTTATTCAAATGGTCTGTAAATAATATTACCGACCTCTTTGTATAATATTTAGATGAATAAATGGAATAAAAATATTTTATTATGTGCATGCAAAATTTTTAATACAAAAGTAATGAATACGAAATTAATAAAACATTAATTACATTTATTTTACTTATATTATGATTTATATTTAAAAATTCAAATTTATTGCTCTCAAATTAACAAGCATAATAATTGATAAAATTCAAATTATATTACGTAAGTACTACAAAACACAGAAATTATATTATAGTAAATATAAAATTTTCTTATATTAATTTAAATAAAAATACACCGCAATAAGCTTTCTTATTCAATAACTTTTTCTTCTATTTTTCGACAACTAAATTCTTTTTAAAAAAAGAAAAAATTTATTTTTTTATGTATTTAAATTACAAAAATAAAAAAAAACCATTAACTAATTTTTTTCTTTTTTTTTTTTACTTAGCAATTTCATGTTGGTTAATAAAATGTATTATTAACCTTTTTGAGAATAAACGGTAATAGTTGTGTGGAAAATATATAGTTATACATGCAAATTCTAGATTTAAAAAAAAAAAAAAAAAAAAAAAAATTAATTTTTAATATCATTGTTTTCTTTTTCTAATTTTTAAATACAAAAAAAAAAAAATATATTTACTTTTTTTTAAAATGATTAATTTTTCAGTTGAAATATTAATTTATTTATTTCTTATTCCATAACTTTGCTATAGTATTCAGCAAACATATTAATAAAGTGATTTATTAACTGAGTGTTCGGTGACTTTGTTAGAGTACTAACTTATTAACTAGATGTCCGGTGACTTTGCTAGAGTACTGAACTAATAAATTAATAAAGAGCATGCGGAGTTACCTCTACGATTTTGATTTATTTATATATATTTTTATAAGCTTTGAACTATTAATCCTTAACTATGTGCTCTAC